CCACATATTCTTGGTCCCTGGTAAGCTTGTATCCATAATGCTTGGAAAATTCTTGCTCACACAAGTCGCGATATAGATGGTCTATAGCCAGGTTGAACATTGAAGCCGACAAGATTCCGCCTTGGGGTACTCTTTGCTGCCGCACTTCGATCCAGCTTATCATGTGGGCTCCTACTCCAATCTTAATTGAGTTAGTACCCAGGAGAGCCTCAATCACGTCTTTGAAGTCTGGTGAGATCCCTCTTGCCTCCTGTGAGCTGATGATATGGTCGTGACCAACGTTGTCAAAAGCGCCAACAGCATCTAGAAACACCACCGCGCAATCATTCTTTTTTACATTTGGCATGCTTTATGATCGTGTCGATGATTCTTGCACTGACATGTGTTCGCGGCAGGCCTCTGATCAAACCTCTCTGATTTTTGCTAAAGGTGATCTGTTTCCTCAATTATTGGTCCAGAACCTTTTCAATGATTCGGCGCACAATGGTATAAATATCAAATGATTGTGACTTCCATGGAAATGTAGTGATAGGATGGAATAACAACGTGATGATTATTATTGAACAGCTCTTAGTTCTTCATCACACTCTAGTTTGTGGTGGTATGACGCGATAAACCAAAAACACGTACTTCAGATTGACCTCTTAATGGAAATTTTAGTATGACTGGTATAATTGGCAATATATTTATGTACAATATGTATGAAATTATTTAAGATCATGAGGATAATGAATTAATAACAGTTTTAAAATTGAAAAATATTGTAAAAAAAAAATTCTATCAAAACAAGCAGTTCAGAAAAGAAATGTCTCCAAAACATCAAAGAAAATTATAATAAAATAATGAATAAATAAGGAAGATTCAGATCACGAAATGATTATAAATTGCAAATAAAAAACTTCTGTTAGTAGTAAACTTATAAACTTAAGAAATTAAAGTTTATTTCTCATTTCTTTATTTAACTGTCTGGTGTTGAGAAAAATTCTTCACTTACTCAATGCACAACTTCTATTACAAGCTTATTGATATTTTTTGCGATTGATATTTTTTGCGTATTCTACATCAACATCCTTCATGTTCCTACATATCCTTTGGCAATCTTACACTCATCAGTTCCTCACAAAACTGTTCCACTAGTTGCTGCTAGAGTATTTAAAATGGAAGCCAATTTACTTCTGATGTTAAGCCTTTTCAGTTTAAACTACTGCTGTTCCCATGTGCAGATATTACTCTGTTATACGGAATTGTAATTGAATTGTTATTCAAGATTGTAGTTCTCAAATATGTTTGGTATATCTTCATTTGTCACTTAAAACAAGTGATTATATTGTGAACATGTTACAGTGATCTCTTCTTTTGCAATATCTCAAACTTGCTTATTTTATTGATGATGAAAAATGTTCTAGAGGTGGATGCTTGTGAAATGTATGTACTTTTAGATGCTTTTGCGAGTCTAATTTCACTATTGTTTGTTGATGTTTACCATACTATTTTGCATAATTGTTAGGTCATTTTTTTTATTATTATTTTCAATTATGAACTTTTGTAATTGACCAAGAAAAAAAGAAGTCCAAAAATTAGAATCCAAAAACTGCAAATTATTACATAATGATTTAATATTTACTTTCACTTACCTGTATATGTAATATATAGTAAAGATAAGTATTGCAGTCGTGAAACTTTTTGAAGTTGAGTTTTTAACCAAAAAACACGTTTTGATGTTCCATGAGTCCAAATAACCAAGTCCCAAAAAATGGTCAGTGTGTCTGTGAACAGTCTAGCTCAAAAACCAAAGTCATACGAAACTGATATTAAGTATTTAAAATTGGTATATGCCTTAGATGTGACAGCAACTTTTCTCTTAAAATCGGTTAACCAAAAGTGCCACTATATCAACGGTGAAACACATTTTTACAATTTTCTCAAAAATGGCTCCAACGATTTTGATTAAACCCGGTGTATCATTGTATAATTAAGTGGTATTTAATATCATTTAGGTGTTATCCCCATTGATATCACTTAACAGGGCTTGAATGCCAAATGTTCATATATGTCTTCTTATATTTTACCTTTAATATTTTTTATATAAAAAATTAACTCTCTTTTATTGACAGTAACTATAAAAAATGGTTAAATATGAGGTTTGAAAGAATATGATAATTGGAAACTGGAGAAAAAAAAAAATGCTTATGCAGGTTGAAAATGAATCTCCAGAAATAACAGTCAGAAGATTTTTGTATAATATATTGTTCGAAAGCAGAGAATTTTAGATAAAAATAATATCAAATAAATAAAGTTGTAGAAGGTAACGGAGAGTGAAGAAAAAAATATAAATAATAATTTCAGAAAACTAATATTATTTAACGTAAATCACATGTTTTCAAGGAACTTTAATGGAGTTTTTTTACTAAATGTAAATTTTTAGTCTTTGGTATAATGATTGCAAAATATTTTATATCTTTTCTTTTCCTGCACGATTAGCTAAAATATAAATGTAGAAAAACTAAATCAGTTGCTCTATTGAAATAAAATGGCAAATAGTTATGTTGAGTTCTGAGGGTCATCCTAGTGTAACCTGCAGCTTTTGTGGAAAATCTGAAAAAAAATTGGTCCAGTTATCTTGCAAAAAACCATAAACAGGTCATATCAGGATCCCTCGATTACTGCACTAATTTTTCCTGATTGTGATCATTGTCATTGATCACACTATGTTTATCCTCCATCTCTGACTTCCAAAATTTTGTTTCAACATCTTTTCTTATCAATGCCATTATCCATTCAGCAATGGGAGGTGAATCAGTATATTACTTTTCCCCCATTAATTGCCAAGAATCATTATATATAGTATAAATATTTTGTAGTATTGATTAGATATCAAATTCATATGATGTTTCATTTCAATTTTATCCATGTCTCATTTGATTCAACTGTATTATCATTTGATTACAATCTAAACTTTTTTTTATCATGAATATATATCCAACATTGAAAAAAAAAATTGAAACTATCAATCATTAATATAAAAAAATGTATTAATCCCTGTTTAGGTGCTAAGTCTTTATTAAGAAGAACAGCAAATAATTTGATTTTATTGAATATTCTAATGAGTGAATTACAATTAAAATTATTTATTTAAGATACCTTCTTAATCATAGATTGATTAAATACAAATACAAATATAATCGACACTTGAGACAATAATGTAACTTTAACACTTGATAAGTCATTGTTCACAGCTAACAATCTCTTATCGTAGCAATGCCATTTGCACTAACTTATTAGTTCTCTGTCCGACTCAGGCTGAATTAATTCAGACACTCAAGTATTTCCATCATTTTTTAATCTATTACTCCTGTTACCCAAGTCTGTACTAACTTAAATTAATTGGACTGAAGCTCTGGTGAGGTTTGTATGGTCTACTGAATGCTTTTGGTGGTTCTAGATGTTTCCCTCGATTCTCATTGGTCGGAACAGGTGACCAACTCTTGCATTGTCTTGAATATTCTTCCATTTTTATAGCTTTCGATATATATATAAAATCTTCATAATACGAAATCCAATGTTACAAAAATTACTTGGTTGCTATTTTAATCTTATGAAAATTGTTTAATTGTTCTAAATTATATTAGTGTAAATTTAATATTGTAAGAATTATAATTCTTAAAATCCAGTAAATTATGATTGTTATCCAAAATTAATTACCACAGACAATCAATATCCAACATCTGCAAAATCACTGCAAGTTGTCTTTAAGTTTCCTATTTCCATAACATTATCTATTCCTAATATAAAATGTTATAATTTTTGTAACTGCAACACAGCTTCTTCTTCAATCACTTTACGTCTTTGATACTTTTTTAACCTTACCAGAACTAATTTATAACTCTTGTTCTTATATGATAAGTCAGTATTAACATTTTTCTTGGATAAAGAGTTTAATAATGGTGATGGTATATTTATTTCTAAACATAATTTAACCCATATTAACTTCTTCTTAGAATTTCCATTGATCAAAACTTCAGACTTTAACATAAATAGAACAAATATTGTAAATATTTTTTGTAATAAAATGATTTTTATAGCTGGTTCAATCCTACTGGGTAAATTAGTTAACTCCTTTTAATATTTTGTGTTATATTATATTATATTTTAGGAATATCTTAAATATTCATTATATTTATATTCTCTTAAATACTGTTTTGAATGATTGCTTAACTTCTATAGAAATCAGAATTGTTATAATTTCTAATTAGTCATGTCTGTTCTTTCTTGCTTATATTGACAAATATATATATTTTAAATTAGCCGTGCTTCGCAGTTTCATCTGCATGAAATTTGAATTAAATATCCCTGTTTACACTATATCAGGTGTCGCCAACTACACAAAAAAAAGAAAAAAAAAAAAAGGACCTTCAATCCGGTCCGCAAAATTTTGATCAAAATTTAACATGGTGGTAAAATTTTAAAAAATATGAAATTTAGTTAATCACTCAAACTAATACAACATGTATTACATGAATTTTCAGATTGATTGATATTTATGGTTTCTGTCATTGTGTGATGTAATAAAGCCATAAGCATGCAAGTCTTTCTCAATAAATGTTTTATCTAACATAACTAATTTTTCAACTTGAACAGATTAATCCTGAAGTTAATGGGTTTATCAAAGAACCTTAGCTTTATTTATTAGCTTAAATTGGTTGAGGGAAGTTAGATGAATACATTGTTTGTATTACAGTATAATATAAAATATCCATCTGTTCTTGTTTCGATTGGACAAAAAAAAAAAAAAATTGATTTCTGTTTAATAAACTTCTTACTAAGTATTGATACACATTTATCATTTTCTAAACATTTTCAAGTGTTAACAAAAATTAACATTTTTATGTTAGTTTTGACTATTGAAAAATTCTTTTTATTAATTTATCATTTTATCTATAAATATTTAAATTATTTTTCATGATAAAGTAAACAGTTTTACTTCACTGTTTGTTTTTTAGAAGTTTACATGCATGAGTTTGTTTCCTCACAAGTTGCAGCTGCATGCTTATTGGCAGCTCGTTTAGAACATGGAGTAATACCAGTTTGGCCCAAAGTTATTGCTAACATAACTGGATATACACTCTCTGATCTTCAAGAATGTCTTGATTTACTTATTGAGTTGGTATCATTATTAATCAATTTTTTTTATGGATATTAATTTTATGAATTCAATATATTTTTATATATTACAAATATTCATATGGAAATCATTTCAAGGTGTCGTTTTAATTCTATGTATTCCAGTGCCTGTGGATAATTCAGTATTTTTTGTTTTACCGTCTGGTGCTTACATAAATAAATCAGAAAGCTTTTCCGTCATATGAGCTGACTACCTACATTTGTCCATGTGAGAAGCACGGATTTTCCAAATCTAATCCATATACTTTCAGCTATTGTCCTTGTGTTTTATTAATGGTCATTACAAAAGGGTGTTGAACCAGAAAATAAAAGTTTGAATTGAAACGTCATTTCTGATGGAATTATTAGAATATGTGGCTACATTACATCTTCCCTTCTGAATTTTCAATTCAGAATTGTTGCTTCAATAATATTGTTCCTTTTTCACCGAAAGTCTTGTACTATTGCAAAGTGATGATGGATTGATCTTTTGGAGAACAATGATAAGCACGCCAATTTTCAATGTTAAAATGTTCGGTAGCATTCCTGGGAAATCGAGAGATTCAAGAATTCCATTGGGTAATTGACAACTTCTTCTTGATTCATCATAGTATCGGTGGACTTACATGTTGTCGCTTCGCCAAATGATATGTAGGAAAATCTTTTAAATCAATTTGTCTTTGGTTGATGTCACTTTACAAAACTTTTTGGCAATGTGATACAAAAATGAAGATGGAAAAATTCAGTATTTCACGTATTGAAATTCATGTTGTTTCTTTTTTGGAAAATGTTGATTTTAATTTAATAACTCAATTGTTTTTTTTTTTAATTATCTCATTTGCTATAAAAATTGTTCAACTTTTCAGCTAAGACAAAATTTAATAGCGGAAACCAGACAGTCTCTAACTGAAAAATAGTATGACCAAACTTTTTTCAATGGAAGTTATTTATTTTTTTGAAATTTATCCATAATTTATTATTATCTAATTTTAAAATATCTAATTTTGTAGATATTATAAATTCTTTATTAAAATGAAAGTTTTAATAAAGAATTTTCTAACCTTCCTTGTAAAAAATTATTTATTACGAAATAATGAATGGTGTAGTAGTAATGCATAAAGTACAAACAGACATACATTCATTTTTATACATATATATGAGAATGAAAATGTAAATTTCTAACAATTATCCCAGTAATTTTTACTTAAACAAGAGAAAAAAAAATGTTCACACATTATCACTAATGGCAAATGAAGATGCATCATGTTGCGACATATTCTTAAGGATAAATAAAATACTATTTAAAATGTTGCTATCTTTTTCAAAATTACAAAATACCCTGAAGCCTTCACACCAAAGATTTCTTTGTTGCATAATGGTGTGCAGAGTAGAGTTGCTGGATTACAGAATACCAGCTGAAATTTTTGAGTGTAACTGTGAATTTGGCTAAATTTATGGCAATTTTTATATAATGTTTTTATTTAGATTTTCAGTAGTATCGGATTTTATAACCTTTTTATAGTTAGAAAATATAAATTTTCATTTTACTTACATATTAATAATTTTTATTTTTCCACATAATTTCATTCAAAAAGTGTGTTATATCAAATTATGTTTCATTGGTTTTGTGTTTTTTTTTTGTAATATTTAAATGCTGAGAATAAACTAATTCACACACACACACAATTATACGGACCTAATCCAAAAAGATTGTAAAACTTTATTCTTATGTATAATTCTTTCCTTAATTTTTGATATTGTTTACACCAAACCTCCAATGCCCATCAATTCAGCTAATTTATTGTTTTACTAATTACCACTTTTTAAAGACTTAAAAATTAAATATTGCTATTTAATAATGCATTCTATAAACCTTCATCTTTTCTGGTTCCAAGTATCAAAAATGTACCAAGCTGATGAAGCATACACTGAATAAGCTTTTTCTTTGTTTATTTACCATTTTTAGAATGAAGTATGTATCAAATATGAAGTTTAGATTGTTATTTTATTTAATTTAAAATTCAAATAATGTGCAAATTGTAATCTGTTTTTCCATTTAAACATTTTTTTTCCAGAGCTAATGTGAATTACTCATCCAAACGTTTTGAAGACTCCCGCTCTGAGTCTGGTTATGAATCCTGTAGTCCAGAAAATCTATTCAAAAAAAGAAAATTGGATATTAGTTAGGCTGCATTATTGCAAGGCATATAAGTCTCATTATGCCTGATATTTTTTAAAAAATGAATCGATAATTTATAACAAAATACTGGCTATAACAAATCTGTGATAGAAAAAGTAAAATGAAATGTGATTGTCTTTATCTATGATGGATTCTTCCTAAAGATTTATATTGTGATAATTAAACGATATTTTTTAATTTTGTTTAAAATATTAAGAAAACTAAATGCTACAAATTGTGATCTATTATGTATGGAAATATAGTTATTTAGTTAATTTTGTGATATAGTGGTTAAGTAAAATCAAGACTGATGTTTGATGTAGGGTATGAAAACAATTAATTTTGTATTAAGACTGATATTTGTGTTATGATGGTATATTAATTATATCGCCTGTCTTGTTTTAATACCATAGAACAGTTTCTAAATAGTGATAGCATAAATACAAAATTTAACCATTTTACAAAAAAAAATTTTAATGTCTTTCCTGAAGTATATCAATTTTGTAAAAATAATGAATTACATACTAAGTTATCTATTGTGGTGTTCTTTTTCAAACATTTATTTTCCTAATTTAAATGTTCTTTTGTTAATTTGTTTATTTCTTTAAAAAGCCATGCGTATTCTCTCAATGAATTTTATTTCATAATCCTAATTCCAGAACCTCTTAACTACTATGTTGTATGTAATTAGGAGGTCTTAAAATTTGGATAAAAATTTATATTTATATTCTTTTTTTACATACTTTTTAAAAGTGATGTATAAATTTGCTTATTTAAGAATGGTTTACAAAACTGGTTATTTAAGCATTAAAAATTGAATGTCTAAAAATTAAAATATTATTATTATTATATGTTTATTTAATAAATCATATTAGTAAATGTATTAATGCCTTTTCAATTCAATAAATAAAATTTCATGATTTTATGATGCTCGAATTGGTAGTGTGCTTTTGATTAATTCCCATTGTTAACTATAGTGTTATTTTTTAGCTGATATGTTTCTGCTATTATGTCCAGTTATTTCCCAATAGCTATAACTTCCTTTTCTTCAAGATTAAATTCATTATGATGGACTTTCAAAACCAATATTGAATTCATTAATACTTCCTTCCAATCCTAGTGTTTTGTGCTACACTGAAGCCAATTTTAAATTCTTCTTTTTCAGCATCCCTCTCTGTCTTTAATTTTAAACAAGTTGCAATAAAATCAAGTCAGAAGTCTCATCTGATATTTCATAATAATTAGAACAATATCTGTTAAGTAGCATTTTACCAGAATGTTCCTCATTTTCCATTTTACAATTGAAGCCAAGAATGTTCTCTTTTAACATATTTTATAAATCCTATATATTATTTCTAAAAGGTTTTTTTTTTTTGTCGGTACGCAAAGAAACTTTATTTGCGAATAACTCAAAAAGTATACATTTTTTTCTTTATTGTGCCCATGATAATTAGAAAGATTACTAAATTACCTGCACAACAAAAGAAAAATGAAAAAATCAATTAGAAATATGTATAATTTAAACAATGTGTATTGACGGAAGGATATAGGGCCTTATAAACTACACGAAATGACATTTGCAATTTTTTCCTGATTGTACCCATGATAATTAGAAAGATTACTAAATTACCTACAAAACAAAACAAAATTGGACAATTATTAACTAAGATACAGTCCTTAAAGGCATTTGTTTGTTCTTACATTTTATTTTTTTTTAATAACTTTGAAAATCCCATGATCGGGGCATTATTTTGTCTTTGTTACTTTTATTATCTCTCCAGTCAGCATTTAAAAATAGGTCCTAGCAAAGCAATTTATACAAATATTTTGGTTTATTATGTTAAATGGAATATTTTAAACGACCAAGGAAAAAATATTAATTCCTTATTTACATAATACATAGGATCTACTTATTTTCATATTGTTTTACTATTTCTCCAATAAATAAAATCTTCTACAAATTATTCGCACAGGCCAACAAGTTATATCCATATTAAGAATGAAGTAGTAGACATAGTAGACCTTGACTATTATTTTTCCCTTGTTTTGTTTTTTATACAAACATCATAATGGTTTAAAAACTTGCATGTTCATTAGTATTTTCTTTTTCAGTTTTTCCTTTTATGGTTGCTTCAATAGCCTCCAATTATTTGCCTGGTTCACTTCTACTTAAGTTTACCATTGTCTTTTTATAATCTTTGAACCAGCCCCTCCACTTTGTGTCCTACCCAACACTCCTTGTAAATGCAACATTGTGTCTTTTGCAGCTAGTAGTAAATAAAAAGCTAATTTTCTTGGAAAAAGGTGGTAACAAAGTATCACAGTGTTGTCCAAACATAGCAGATTAACTGATTTGATTTTTTTTTTTAATGTCTGTCTGCATTTGGTTCAATTTAGGACTTTTAATCAAAGCTGAGAATCACAGTAACATAACATCAGTAAAATTCAATTTTCCACACAGCAGAGAATTTAAATATTTTATTAATTAAAAGGTATATATATATATATATATATATATATGATTGAATTAAAGAGCTCATTGTCACTATAAGTTTTTTATTCATATATTAAAAATATATATATAATTTTAATCGCAGGACATGTTTCGCTGCTGACAGAGAAGTGTGGAAGAAGACTTTAGTAGAATAATTTTAATAATACTCTCCCTTGAAAATGGAAAGTACATCCAAACATTGAAGCATGGATATATGATTAAGTATTTAGGATGTACATTCTCGAGAAAGCTACAATTCTAGGAAGATTCCTTGACCAAATTGAATGAAAATCTTAATAAGCTGACAAACTCTTGCTTACTTAAACCTGAGCAGAAGCTTAACATTGTCAATTAATATCTGTTCCCGGGTCGTACTTATCCTCTCCAAACTGCACCCCTCACGAAGCTGCGTCCTGCCCTACTGGATGGCTCAACAGCATGATTCGATGTAAAGGCGATTATTGGACTCCCTGCGAATACCTCCACGGCGATGTAGTATGCCCACAAGAGATACCAACTATTGGGATTAATTCGCTGCCAATGGGAGGCTTCTCTTCAATATTGGTCCATTGCTCAGTGATTGTCCAATGTACCTGAACCCCTTTTCCAATCAACTTTCGGTTATTCGGCTGAAGTTGCTGAATGTGCCGAGAGATTCGGGGTTGATCAGGGTCATCGAAATATAAGAGTTCTACGGCAGTCGCAACGAGAAAATTCGTTTGAGGAATGGGTCAACTGCAGGTGGCAGGGCATTGATGTTCGCCATTTTGAAGAGACCCTGAAAGCGAATAAATACATGCATGAAAAGCAAGCACTTTCTGGGTCTAAATGGTCGAATGTCCTGAAACTAAACATTAATTGCACCCCTGCGTGGGGAACTAGGTGTCAGCGGACAGGTCAGAGAAGTTGGGTCCCTCTGTCGTAAATGCGACAGAGAGTCAGAAACACCAGCCCATGTGCTGGGAAAATACCCCCAACAACTCCTTCCTCATAGAACATCGCCATCATAGGTTGATGATGCTCCTTAGAGAAAAGGAATTCATCTGCTTTGACGAGATCTATTGCTTCGATAATGAAGGCTCTCCAAGATAGGCGGATATTGTCGCATTTCCCAGGATAGGAAGGACAGAGCTGATCTTGGATCCAACTGTACCCTTTGAGAACAATGACTTCGATAAGTTGAGTGAAGTGGAAAGGGAAAAGAAGAACACATATGATAAATGTGTCCCTTTCATAAAAGAGAAGTTCGGGGAAAGAGAGGCCTCTGGTTTGGATCTCGCGGAACGATTTCAAAAAGAACAAGGAGCTTCCTCGGGAAACTAAGCATCGATATTAAGGACGCAGCAAGGTTGGCTGAAAATATAATCCTCGACTCCTTGTGAATCATTCACCACCACGTGCTTGGGTAGGGTGAGAATTTTAATTTATGTATTTATTTATTGTAAAAAATTTCTTGTATTAAATTGTATATACACATTTGTTTTTGTTATTGTTTATATTGAATAGTTTTAAGCGTTTTAATACATGTTGCATTTTAGAGAGATGAGGAGGGAGAAAGGGAAATTAAATGAAAAAAAAGTGCATGAATAAGCAAAAAAAAAAAAAAAATGAATATTTATTATACTCATACTTATTAATCACTTCTATATACTTATGTATAAGCTTTATTGATTGTCCTAAAGATTAATCAGTATGCTGTGTGTTTGGCGACCCAATATAATTGGGCAGCAAGCTTTTATATAAAGTCTCTCTCTCTCTCTTCCTTTTCTCTCTGCACCTCTGACTATGAGGAACCTAAAGAGTTTCTTGCATGGAGAAAATAAGTTGAAACTTCTTCATGCTAATTGAAAATCGTGAGAAGATTTTGGACACATAGAGAAAAAACGAGAAAGAGAACTTTATCTTTTACAGTGTTATTAATGGAATGACCACGATCGCTGAAAATAATTAAGGATTAACATAGAAAAAGTAACTGGCGGAATGAGGACATACTGAAAAAATGGAGAGAGTATTTCAAAAATTTACTATAAGAGAGGAAGTTGAAAGAATGAAGACAATTTTATCAACGAAGAACTGTAGAAAGCAATTTACAAGACTTGACAATAACAAGATGTATAAAAAAAAAAAAAAAAAAAAATGACCGTTTTTCAACCAAATATTTGTATTATTATTTCCTTGATATAAAATTGCATCAAGTCATAATCGCATCAGATCCGGATGATGTGAGCTATATGATGTGGAAGTTGCTGGCCACATATTCCAGATGGGGTCTGAAAATCAATAAAAATAAAATACGAGTGCATGGTTTTTAACTCACCAAATTTACCCCTTGAAATTATTGACTGGGCGGTCAATGTCAGGCGACAGTTCAAGTACCTCGGATACTGGCTCTCTTCTAAATGAGACAGTGAGGTTGACATCAAACATAAAATAAAAAATGGGAAAAGAATGATAAGTTCGATAAATTCAACCCTATGGAGTAAGGAAATTTTATATTTTTAGCTTGGAAACTAA